AAAAGTTGTAGCAAATTTCATTCTTACCAATATTGCATTCTTTTACTTTTGCCCTCAAATGCGTCAATATCGAAAAAACTACGAAAATATGAAAATTTTAAGAATTCGTTGTTTTACTAGCAGATAATGGTCAAGCATTTATAATTGTTATTATAATTTTTATTGTTATTCCGTTTAAATGATTTTCCTAATTTGAATTTATATATTTTTTTGTTGTTTTACAATTCGTGACATGTGGTCGAAGTACGACGTTCGGCTCGTGTTATTTATAAGATGAATTTGGTAAAATATATTCGGATATATTCGGCTTTATGCCTCAAGCAATGTAACATCATCAAAATTATATTAAAATTTAGTAAAATAAATTTCAAGAGTTTAATTCTATTACAAAAACAAACAATAAACGAATCAGCGATTAAATACTACCACGGAGCATTTTTTAAAAAAACTTTTAAAACAAAAGTTGTTGCAAATTTCATTCTTACCAATATAGCTCTCTATTACTTTTGCTCTCAGATGCGTCAATATTGAAAAAAATAGGAAAATTTAAAGAATTCGTTGTTTTACTAGTAGATAGTGGTAGCACTGGAGAATCGGAGCATTATATAAAAAAACTTTTAAAACAAAAGTTGTAGCAAATTTTATTCTTACTAAGATTGCTCTCTTTTACTTTTGCTCTCAGATGCGTCAATATCGAGAAAAATACCAAAACATGAAAATTTTGGGAACTTGTTGTGTGACTAGCAGATAATGGTAGCACTGGGGAATCGGATCATTTTATAAAAAAACTTTTAAAACAAAAGTTGTAGCAAATTTCATTCTTACAAATATTGCTCTCTTTTACTTTTACCCTCAGATGCGTCAATATTGAGAAAAATGCGAAAAGATGAAAATTTTAAGAATTCGTTCTTACTAGCAGATAATGATAGGTAGCACTGGAGAATCTGAGCATTTTATAAAAAAACTTTTAAAACAAAAGTTGTAGCAAATTTCATTTTTACCAATATTGCTCTGTATTACTTTTGCTATCAGATGCGTCAATATCGATAAAAATACAAAAATATGAAATTTTTAAGAATCTGTTGTGTTACTAGCAGATAATGGTAGCACTGGGGAAACGGGGCATTTTATAAAAAAACTTTTAAAACAAAAATTGTAGCAAATTTCATTGTTACCAATATTGCTCTCTTTAACTTTTGCTCTCAGATGCGTCAATACGGAGCCTACGATATTCCAGGCCGTACTGTAATGGTGGGGAGACTGAAATCTCAGGGTACGCTTCTTCATCTCGGGGCATCGCTCAGTTCTGTTTTAACCGTTGAGTTATGAGGTTGTTGGACCGTTGTCATGCTTCTAAACGTTAGCGACTTTCAGGGTTTCTTCTGTAGATTATTTGCGACTTGTTTAATGTTTTCTTTCTTCTGAACTATTGCAGAATTTACTTTATATTGTATTTAAAATTACTATAGAAGAGTATGAAACGTACTTTAAAAAGTCCACAAACCATACACAATTGCTAAAAACTATATTCTTAAACCAACTGGTAGAAAAAGTTAATCTAAATTATTTTAATTGTAATTTTAATAAGCTAATTAATTTATTGGAAAATAAAGTATCATTGGTTCTGTGCAATATATTATTAAATAATTATACATAAATCATAAATAATACTTAATAATTTTGTAGAAAATGTCAGAAAATTATGAAAATTTAATGTCATAGAAGGTGATGTTTTTTTATCTACGTATAACATTGAACGTCGTCTTAAAACGGTTACATTCCTTCCTTGTCATCGTACCCTGAACCCCCACCATTACAATACGGCCTGGAATATCATAGGCTCCGGTCAATATCGATAAAAGTATGAAAATTTGAAGAATTCGTTGTTTTTCTAGCAGATAATAGTAGCACTGGGGAATCGGAGCGCTTTATAAAAAAAGTTTTAATACAAAAGTTGTAGCAAATTTTATTCTTACCAATATTGCTCTCTTTCATTTTTGCTCTCAGATGCGTCAAAATCGATAAAAATACGAAAATATGAAATTTTTAAGAATTTGTTGTCTTACAAGCAGATAATGGTAGCACTGGGGAATCGAAGCATTTTATAAAAAAACTTTTAAAACAAAATTGTAGCAAATTTCATTCTTACCAACATTGTTCTCTTTTATTTTTGCTCTTAGATGCGTCAGTATCGAGGTAAATACGAAAATATGAAAATTTGTTACTCTTTTAAGTTATTAAAGGTAACACTTGAGAATCGGAGCTTGCTATAAGAAAACTTTTATAACAAAAATTGTTGCAAATTTTATTGTTAACAATATTGCTCTCTTGCACTTTTGCTCTTAGATAGGTAAATATCGAGGTAAATACGATAATATGAAGATTTGTTACTCTTTCAAGTTATTAAAGGTAACATTTGGAAATCGGAGCTTGCTATAAGAAAACTTTTATAACAAAAATGGTTGCAAATTTTATTGTTAACAATATTGCTCTCTTGCACTTTTGCTCTTAGATAGGTAAATATCGAGGTAAATACGATAATATGAAGATTTGTTACTCTTTCAAGTTATTAAAGGTAACATTTGGAAATCGGAGCTTGCTATAAGAAAACTTTTATAACAAAAATGGTTGCAAATTTTATTGTTAACAATATTGCTCTCTTGCACTTTTGCTCTTAGATAGGTAAATATCGAGGTAAATACGATAATATGAAGATTTGTTACTCTTTCAAGTTATTAAAGGTAACATTTGGAAATCGGAGCTTGCTATAAGAAAACTTTTATAACAAAAATGGTTGCAAATTTTATTGTTAACAATATTGCTCTCTTGCACTTTTGCTCTTAGATACGTCAATATCGATAAAAATATGAAGATTTGAAGAATTCGTTGTAACTAGCAGATAATGGTAGGTAGCACTGGGGAATCGGAGCATTTTATAAAAAAACTTTTAAAACAAAAGTTGTAGCAAATTTCATTGTTACCAATATTGCTCTCTTTTACTTTTGCTCTCAGATGCGTCAAAATTGATAAAAATACGAAAATATGAAAATTTGAAGAATTCGTCGTTACTAGCAGATAATGGTAGGTAGCACTGGAAAATCGGAACATTTTATAAAAAAACTCTTAAAACAAAAATTGTAGTAAACTTCATTCTTACCAATATTGCTCTCTTTTACTTTTGCTCTCAGATGCGTCAATATCGAAAAAAATAAGAAAATATGAAAATTTTAAAAATTTGTTGTAACTAGCAGATAATGGTAGGTAGCACTGGGGAATCGGAGCATTTTATTAAAAAAACTTTTAAAACAAAAGTTGTAGCAAATTTTATTCTTACCAATATTGCTCTGTTGTATTTTTGCTCTAAGATGCATCAATATCGAGAAAAGTGCGAAAATATGAAAATTTTAAACATTTTTTATGTTACTAGTAAATATAGGTAGCATTTGGGAATCGAAGCATTTTATGGAAAAACTTTTAAAACAAAAGTTGGAGCAAATTTCATTCTTATGAATATTGCTCTCTTTTATTTTTGCTCTCAAATGCGTCAATGTCTAGAAAAATGCGAAAATATGAAAATTTTAAATTTTTTTGTGTTACTAGTAAATAATGGTACCACTGGGGAATCGGAGTATTTTATAAAACAACTTTTAAAACAAAAGTTGTAGCAAATTTCATTCTTACCAATATTGCTCACTTTTATTTTTGCTCTCAGATGCGTCAACATCGAGAAAAATATGAAAATTTTAAGAATTCGGTATTTTACTAATAAATAATGGTAACACTGGGGAATCGGAGCATTTTATAAAAAAACTTTTAAATCAAAAGTTGTTGCAAATTTCATTCTTACCAATATTGCTCTCTTTTATTTTTGCTCTCAGATGCGTCAATATCGAAAAAAATACGAAAATATGAAAATTTGAAAAAATTTTTGTGTTACTAGTAAATAACGGTAGCACTGGGAAATCGGAGTATTTTATAAAAAATGTTTTAAAACAAAAGGTGTAGCAAATTTCATTCTTACCAATATTGCTCTCTTTTATTTTTGCTCTCAGATGCGTCAATATCCAGAAAAATGCGAAAATATGAAAATTTGAAAAAATTTTTGTGTTACTAGTAAATAATGGTAGCACTGGGGAATCAGAGTATTTTATAAAAAAACTTTTAAAACAAAAGGTGTAGCAAATTTAATTCTTACCCAATATTGCTCTCTTTTATTTTTGCCCTCAGATGTGTCAAAATTAATAAAAATACGAAAATATGAAAATTTTAAAAATTCCTAAAATAAGATAGCTAACGAAAAAATTAAGCTTAATGGACACGCTGTTTTATTCCATGTTTCAGTTCATTTCGAAATTTTCCACACATTTCTTTACTTTAATATGTCTGTTTTATTATTATTTTAAAAATATAAAGAAATATATTCGCTTTGCAAACTTGTATTAGTTGCATTGAGCATAATCGAAAGTAAAATGTGAAAGAAAGCTTTTTATACAATACTGATAAAGGAAAAATTTCTTGGCAGAAAAAGCAACTGCATGGAACCAACATATTTTGGCATTTTGACATACTTGAGTCTCGTCTGGGAATTTCCAAAATTATTTAGAGGCACTTTTTAATTAATTTGGAAATTCTTAGAAACTCCTGGATAACTTAGTACATCTAGTAAAGAGCTTCTAAAAACATTTTGACATACTTGAGTATCGTCTGGGAATCTCCAAAATGTTTTTAGACACTTTTTAATCATTATGGAAATCTTTAAAAATTTCTGGGTTATGCAAAAAAAACATTAAAAAGCTTCTGAAAACTTTTAGACATCGATGAGTCTCGCCCCAGAAAGCGATTAGCTACTTTTTCTAATGTCTAAAACTGTCCAGAAAGCGTTTAGACACTTTTAGACAATTTTGAAAATTTTTAAAAACTTCCGGATTACTTAATTTTAGTAGGAATAAAAGGAGATGACTTTTGTATGGTTTTTTTTAGGTCAAAATAATACTAAAGTGTTTAATAAAGCACAGAATTGTTTGAAAAGAAAATTTTTGTTTAAATTTCAGAATTGATATTTTTCGAATAATACTGATTAACATCCAACATATCCAATAATTGTAACAAATGCGGTTGATATCCAACCCTAACGATTTTATGACCAACTTTAAATATATAAACAGCGAATTCCTCGAAATTCCTAAAGATCGTTTCGAGCTTTTTCATATTAGTGTGCGAATAAACTCCCTCATCATCATCAAAAACCCACCGTCCAGAAGACAAGTAACGAAAGAATTTCAAAATTAACGTAACAACGTTTTCGATCACTTCTCGAACTGGGGTGAATCGCTTATTTAATAAACACCTAAAAGATTGTCAAAAAAGAAAAAAAAATACTTACGAATTTCAATTCTTTTTTTTGGACTTACTTGAAAAGGATGTCTTTGATGTAAGCGGTGTGAATGTTGTAAAGATCGTCGAGGTTAATGGCTGAGGTTATCTTTTTTTCAAAAATGCTCCAACTCGGTTGAAGGACTTCGCTCATCACGTAGTTTTGGAGAGCTTGCAAAAATTGGCTCATTCGGTGTCTAAACGATTGGATTTTTTTGAAGTGTGGTGATAAAATTAGGAATCCTTCGCGTTGGCCACATTGTCTTGAAAATATTTTTAATGTCTAAAAAACATAAGAGAAAGTGTTATGTTGGTGTGGCAGAAAAATTTAACATGAATACAAGTATTATGACCAAAAGGTTTATCTTCCAACACGATCGAGTGTTGCAAGTTTATAGAAAAAGCGAAGCATGGAAAAAAAATGGTAATCAAAATATGATACAGAAAAACTTTTAGAATAAAAGTTGTAGCAAATTCTATCCTTTACACATTATTATTTAACAGTTTTGCTCTTAGAGTGTAGAGAAATTTTCAAAAATATGAAAATTGGAAAAATTTGTAGTTAGGTAATTTGCTAATGGAAAAAAAATGGTAATCAAAGTATGATACAGAAAAACTTCTAGATTAAAAGTTGTAGCAAATTTTATCCTTTACACATTATTATTTAACAGTTTTGCTCTTAGAGTGTAGAGAAATTTTCAAAAATATGAAAATTGGAAAAATTTGTAGTTAGGCAATTTGCTAATGGAAAAAAAAAATGGTAATCAAAGTATGATACAGAAAAACTTTTAGAATAAAAGTTGTAGCAAATTTTATCCTTTACACATTATTATCCAACAGTTTTGCTCTTAGATGCATCAATGTAGAGAAATATTTAAAAATGTGAATATTGGAAAAATTTGTAGTTACACAAATTGCTAATGGAAAAAAAATGGTAATCAAAGTATGATACAGAAAAACTTTTAAAATAAAAGTTGTAGCAAATTTTATACTTTACACTTTGTTCTCGAACACTTTTGCGCTTAGATGCTTCAATGTGGCGAAATATTTAAAAATGTGAAAATTGGAAAAATTTGTAGTTAGGCAATTTGGTAATGGAAAAAAAATGGTGATCAAAGTATGATACAGAAAAACTTTTTAAATAAAAGTTGTAGCAAATTTTATCCATTATACATTATTATCTAACAGTTTTGCTCTTAGATGCATCAATGTAGAGAAATATTTAAAAATGTGAGAATTGGAAAAATTTATAGTTAGACAAGTTGGTAATGGAAAAAAATGGTAATCAAAGTATGATACAGAAAAACTTTTAGAATAAAAGTTGTAGCAAATTTTATTCTTTACACATTATTATCTAACAGTTTTGCTCTTAGATGCATCAATGTGGAGAAATATTTAAAAATGTGAAAATTGGAAAAATTTGTAGTTAGACAAGTTGGTAATGGAAAAAAAATGGTAATCAAAGTATAATACAGAAAAACTTTTAGAATAAAAGTTGTAGCAAATTTTATCCTTTACACATTATTATCTAACATTTTTGCTCTAAGATGCATCAATGTAGAGAAATATTTAAAAATGTGAAAATTGGAAAAATTTGTAGTTAGACAAGTTGCTAATGTAAAAAAAAAATGGTTTTCAAAGTATGATACAAAAAAACTTTTAGAATAAAAGTTGTAGCAAATTTTATCCTTTACACATTATTATTTAACAGTTTTGCTCTTAGATGCATCAATGANAAATTTGAAATTTCACAATTGGTTAATGGAAAAAAAAATGGTAATGCAAGCATGATACAGAAAAACTTTTAGAACAAAAGTTGTAGCAAATTTGACCCTTTACGCATTGCTATCTAACACTTTTGCTCTCAGATGCATCAATATAGAGAAATATTCAAAAATATGAAAATTGTAAAAATTTGAAATTTCACAATTGGTTAATGGAAAAAAAATGGTAATGCAAGAATGATACAGAAAAACTTTTAGAACAAAAGTTGTAGCAAATTTTACCCTTAACACATTACTATCTAACATTTTTGCTCTCAGATGCATCAATATAGAAAAATATTAAAAATATGAAAATTGGAAAAATTTGAAATTTCACAATTGGTTAATGGAAAAAAAAGTAATGCGAGCATGATGCAGAAAAACTTTTAGAATAAAAGTTGTAGCAAATTTTATCCTTTACACATTATTCTCGAATACCGTTACGCCATCAATCAGCATTACCAACCTAACTTATAAAAACAGAAATTTTAACGGTTTCATCAATTTTCTTTTATAACTCATTAATTATATCTGATGGAAAAAAACTTTTTATACAAAAAAGGTTTAGAATTAACCCATAAAATACATCCAATAAGTTATTTTAATCCATCTATCAGTAGTACCAACCCAACCGAAAAATAATACCAAATTTTTATGATTGTGAACATTTTTAGTTATAACTTATTAATTGTGTATGATGGAGAATTACTTATTAAACAAAAAATGTTTGGAATTAACCCATAAAACGTATTGGATAAAGATATTTAATCCATCAATCAGCATTACCAACCCAAGTTATAAAAAAACAGAAATTTTAACGGTTTCATCAATTTTCTTTTATAACTCATTAATTATATCAGATGGAAAAACTTCTCATACAAAAAAGGTTTAGAATTAACCCATAAAACATATCAAATAAGTTATTTTAATCCATCGATCAGTAGTACCAACCCAGCCTAAAAATAGAACCAAATTTTTATGTTTTTGAACATTTCAGTTATAACTTATTATAATCACTGTTCTCATTTTTCTTTGTACATTTCATGTTTTCTTGTTATTTCTCAAAAGAGCTAAATTTCAAAAAAAAAGTCTCAAATCGTCTTAGTAACACCCTTGTTTATAGATATACATAAAGATAAATAAATATACATAAGAATGAGTAAACGTCGAATGATATCGTACGTCGTAATCATGAATTATTTAAAATTTGTGGTATTCCAATTCTAAATAGACGAATTTACGCTATACAAATGTCTTCCTTACTTATAATGACGGATCATTGACAAGGGCAGCAATGCAAAGTCATCCTAGAGACTAACTTGCTTCCACAAACAGAAAAAGGTGCGCAGATGATAAAAATTCTCCACGTGACAAGAGGAAAAACCAGAATGCAATTATATAAAAAAACGCGGCCGGGGATTATTCCATTATCGTTTTATTTAACATCTAACGTTATAAAGGCCGTTAGACATTGCGACCAGACTCCCGTTAATCAAAAACTAATTAATTTATCAAATATTAAAAGTATTAGTAATATATAGCAAAAGTGTTAGATAGTAATGTGTAAAAGGTAAAATTTACTACAACTTTTGTTCTAAAAGTATTTCCGAATCATACTTTGATTACCATTTTTCTTCCATTAACCAATTGTGAAATTTCAAATTTTTACAATTTTCATATTTTTGAATATTTCTCCACATTGATACATCTGAGAGCAAAAGTATTAGATAGTAATGTGTTAAGGGTAAAATTTGCTACAACTTTTGTTCTAAAAGTTTTTCTGCATCATGCTCCCATTATTTTTTTTTTTTCATTAACCAATTGTGAAATTTAAAATTTTTCCAATTTTTATATTTTTGAATATTTTTCTATATTGATGCATCTGAGAGCAAAAGTGTTAGATAGTAAAGTGTTAAGGGTAAAATTTGCTACAACTTTTGTTCTACAAGTTTTTCTGTATCATGCTCGTATTACCATTTTTTTTTACATTTATGTAACTACGAATTTTTCCAATTTTTAAATATTTCTCTACATTGGAGCATCTGAGAGCAAAAGTGTTCGAGTATAATTTATAAAACATAAAATATGCTACAACTTTTATTCTAAAATTTTTTCTGTATCATGCTCGGATTACCCTATTTTTTTACATTAGCAAATTGCGTAACTACGAATTTTTAAAATTTTTATATTTTTAAATATTTCTCGACATTGATGCATCTGAGAGCAAAAATTTTAGATAATAATGTGTAAAGTGTAAAATTTGCTATAAATTTTATTCTAAAACTTTTCTGTATCATGCTCGTATTACCATTTTTTTTTTACATTTATGTAATTACGAATTTTTCCAATTTTTAAATATTTCTCTACATTGAAGCATCTGAGAGCAAAAGTGTTCGAGTATAATTTATAAAAGATAAAATTTGCTACAACTTTTATTCTAAAAATTTTTCTGTATCATGCTCGGATTACCCTATTTTTTTACATTAGCAAATTGCGTAACTACGAATTTTTAAAATTTTTATATTTTTAAATATTTCTCGACATTGATGCATCTGCGAGCAAAAATTTTAGATAATAATGTGTAAAGTGTAAAATTTGTTATAAATTTTACTCTAAAACTTTTCGGTATCATGCTCGTATTACCATTTTTTTTTTTACATTTATGAAACTACGAATTTTTCCAAATTTTAAATATTTCTCTACATTGAAGCATCTGAGAGCAAAAGTGTTCGAGCATAATTTATAAAAGATAAAATTTGCTACAACTTTTATTCTAAAAATTTTTCTGCATCATGCTCGGATTACCGTTTTTTTTTTACATTTGTGTAACTACGAATTTTTCGAATTTTCATATTTCTTTACATTGATGCATTTAACATCAAAAGTGTTAAAGAGCAATGTGTTAAGAGTAAAATAGATTAAACAAAAAAAAATTACTCACCTGAAACATCTCCTTCAAAACCCACGACACCATATTCAACTTCAACAAAAATTTGAACACCTCATCGTACTTCGCGACGATATCCTTCGGCAACAACACATTTAACGGCCATTTTACTTCATAACTCAGCGACAAACAACTCAGCACGTCGGGGTCGTTCAAATCGAAATTCTTCGGAATATTATTAATCTTAAACGACAAAATCGAGGCAAACTCCCCCTTCGATTTAATCGACGAATCCAACGCGTGTCGAATCAAATTTTGCAAAGTACTCACATTCAACAAATCCGTCGGTTTCGAATCTTTCCCCTTATACAACTTATTAAACAACTCCTCCGTTATATTCCGACTAAACTCGCCATCCAACAAAAAGAAATAACTCCGAAACAATTTCAAATGATCCAAATATTTCAAATTAACGAAAAAGTGGCGTAATAATTCGTTATCGATCAGATTAATTTGAGCTTTTAGCGGAATCGAGACGCTTTTTTCGATTTGTTTTTCCAAGTTGTTTAGATCTGGTGAAGTGGGTGTGGGGTTGAATTGGAATTCGATCGTTGATTTGGAACAAATTGATGTTGAGGGGGTTGAATCGATCGACATCGGTTTGGGAAATTCGAAATTTGGACTTTTCCAAAATTGGCTAAAAATCGTTTTTGAATCGTTTTGGGCCAAATTTAGCGTTAAATTCCGATCGTTCTTGATTAAATTTATTTCTTTCGTGTTATTATTATTATTTAACACATTTTCGTCGATTTTTTTAAAATTTTCGTTTACGACGTTTAGATTCGATTCGATTTTTGGCTCCCCACAACAATCTTTGTTGTTATTATTATTCCAAATAAACCCCATTTCGTCCGACATCACCCTCATTTTATTCTTTAAAGCCGCCTCTTTATTCTCCCTCACCATCTTAATTAACTCATTCTCAACCTCGTTATTTATCAAATTCGCATTAATCGAGTCTAACTCCGAACAAATCGATTTATTATTTTCTTTAACCACGTTTTGAGTCAATTTTAATGGAGTTAATTCAATTTTTTTACCCTCACCTTCATTTGGGTTATTCTCATCAAAATTGTTCGAAATAGCCGAATGAAACGACGAATCTGAGTTGCTGTCGCTATTTTTAATTTCAATAGTTGAATAAAACGACTCTTGTGGTTTAATCTCGATCGTTTTGGCCCGATTAAGATGCTTTTGTATATTCAAAAGCTTCCTATCGGACTTCTCCATCAACTTATTTCTACAACAAAAGTTGTAGCAAATTTTGCCCTTTACACATTACTATCTAATACTTTTGCTCTTAGATGCATCAATATAGAGAAATATTCAAAAATGTGAAAATTGAAAAAATTCGTAGTTTCGCAAGTTGCTAATGGGGAAAAAAATGGTAATCAAAGTATGATACAGAAAAACTTTTAGAACAAAAGTTGTAACAAAATTTGCCCTTAACACATTACTATCTAACACTTTTGCTCTCAGATGCATCAATATAGAGAAATATTCAAAAATATGAAAATTGGAAAAATTTGAAATTTCACAATCGGTTAATGGAAAAAAAATGGTAATGCGAGCATGATACAGAAAAACTTTTAGAACAAAAGTTGTAGCAAATTTAACCCTTTACACATTACTATCTAACACTTTTGCTCTCAGATGCATCAATGTAGAGAAAAATTTAAAAATTTGAAAATTCCAAAAAGTCGTAGTTACTCAAGTTGCTTATGGAAAAAAAATTGTAATCAAAGTATGATACAGAAAATTTTTTAGAACAAAAGTTGTAGCTAATTTAACCCTTTATACATTATTATCTAACACTTTTGTTCGTAGAGGCATCAGTATAGAGAAACATTCAAAAATATGAAAATTGGAAAAATTCGTAGTTTCACAAGTTGCTAATAGGAAAAAAAATGGTAATCAAAGTATGATACAGAAGAACTTTTAGAACAAGAGTTGTAGCAAATGTTACCCTTAACACATTACTATCTAACGCTTTTGCTCTTAGATGCATCAGTATAGAGAAATATTCAAAAATATGAAAATTGGAAAAATTCGTAGTTTCACAAGTTGCTAATGGAAAAGAAAATACTGATTTTTATTCCATTAGCAACTTGTGTATTGTTTTCGATACTTCTGGTGGTTTTTATGACCCTTAGAAACAGTAGTGGCAGTAATTATTACCTCGAAAATGTACCTGGACATGATTTATGATAGGCCCTCCTTCGGAACTAGGTACTTCTTGGCACTTCTTTTTTTATTCAAAATTATCAAAATAAAATAGAAATGTAGTAAAGAATATAAATTTACTTATACATAAATGATTTTACAAAAAAAAAAAACAAGTAATAATTAATAATATAAAAATTATTAACGTTTAACCTTGTTTAGACTTTAAAAATATAAATTAAGAAAAATTAAAAAAAAAGAAAAAACACTTAAACAGTATTTAGAGTACCAAATTATTGTTTACATTCGAAAAATACAAATTTTAAATAAATTGTTGTATTTTTATGTAAAGTAATGGTATTTAAGTTTTTAATGTTATTATGTTATTGTAATTTCCGTTAATGCGGAACTGAACAACTCACGACAGAGTTTGGGATTTGTAAACTACATGTTTACAACTCAGTCTTTGTTCGTCATATGACTGCAATTAAGTCATAAAAATCACCAGAAATATCGGAAACTATAATTACGAATTTTTCCAATTTTCATATTTTTAAATATTTCTCAACATTGATGCATCTGAGAGCAAAAGTGTTACATAATAATGTGTAAAGGGTTAAATTTGCTACAACTTTTGTTCTGAAAGTTTTTCTGTATCATACTTTGATTACCGTTTTTTTTCCATGAGCAACTTGAGTAACTACGAATTTTTCGAATTTTCAAATTTTTGAATATTTCTCCACATTGATGCATCTGAGAGCAAAAGTGTTACATAATAATGTGTAAAGGATAAAATTTGCTACAACTTTTGTTCCAAAAGTTTTTCTGTATCATACTTTGATTACTGTTTTTTTTTTACATTAGCAACTTGTAACTACGAATTTTTCAAATTTTAACATTTTTAAATATTTCTCTACATTGACGCATCTACGAGCAAAAGTGTTCGAGAACAAAGTACAAAGTGTAAAATTTGCTACAACTTTTATTCTAAAAGTTTTCCTGTATCATACTTTGATTAAGTTTTTTTTTTACATTAGTAACTTGTAACTACGAATTTTTCAAATTTTAACATTTTTAAATATTTCTCCACATTGATGCATCTAAGAGCAAAAATGTTCGAGAACAAAGTATAAAGTGTAAAATTTGCTACAACTTTTATTC